AAGTTTGGTGCGATTAACCTTGAGTTTGTATCTATTGTTTGCTCTTGTGTTGTTATGGTTGAAGCTGAAGTATTCATTGACAGGCAGTACATTACAATGTATAATTTTATATACTATACTTAGATCGGACCAAAGGTGGCATGGTTCTAGGTTTTCTAGGTCTAGAATTTCAAGTCTGGTGGCATCAGGTATTCTGCAACAAGTAGAGGAGTGGAGAATTCTTCTTGTGAATCTTTTAGAATCCAGTGGCTGATGACTCAGACCTCGATAATTACTATGGCATGAATCTTGAGGAATGATGTAGCATAATAGTAGAGGATTGAACTAAATCTCCCCCAGCATATGCTTCTGGAATTGACTGTCAGCATAGGAGCAGAGCCATGTAACCCAAAATCTTATGCACCCCGGAGGTTGGTGGTATTAAAAAAGCATTGAAAAATCTAAGGGAAGGAACATGGTTATATTTTCCACATTCTCTCAGCATAAGGTGACCAAGGAATTTTTCATTCCAAAATGAAACCATATGGCCTAATTAGTGCCCCCTTTAAAGGTAAACCCCTAGCTTAGAAAAATCCTAATCACACATTTTATGATATAGATAGAAGCCATAGATACACAGGCATTTTTTTCAGATTGCTAAATTATACACTGAAAGTGGTTTTTTGTCTCTTCTTCATGTAGGTACAGCAGAGGGCAGATGAATGCATTAGAGCTCTTGACCTTTTGCTCGAAATTAATTATGGAAAGCCCGATAAGAACATTTTGCCTTTAATTTTCAACTGGAAATTATTAAAGGTAAATGAAGTAGAAGATTCCCCTAGTTAAGTGGAAATTCACAATTTGGTATGTTGTATTATGTATTTCAGACTGGCACTTTGTTTACTGAAGTGCTGTTGTAAAACAGTTAAACTTTCATTTTTATCCCATTGTGATATTGGATGAATCTGATTTTGTGTTTCTCTAAAGGTTCAAATGGTACCAGAAAATCAAATAGATTAATATAATAATTGCCCTTTTAACATATATTTCTTTTGAGGCAACTGAATAGTGCCCAGACTTGTTATTTTATAGTTAAGCAATATAAAATCCCTGATTGCTTCTAAAATAGTGCAGTATCTTTCTAGGCAAAGTGCATCATTCAGGAGTTTCCTTGAGAGAGACTGATTAGATGAAAAGCATTGGCTTTAACACTTCATTGACTAGCCTGCTTTTTTGTATGTTTTTACTTTCACCACAGCTGGGGTTTCTCACATGACATCAATCTTCCTGTGTCATCTGATTTCTTACATGTTAAAACATATTAATTTATCTGAGAATCTCCCGAGACACCCAATGAATTCTGTGTTCAAGTGCAGCCCTGAAGCAGAATCATCTGAACATAGACAAACCTGAACATAGATCTAGGTCCTAGATCTTACAGCTGCTCATCTAATTCTTTGCAGCAGATCTGTTATGTTCCCGGTACTGATCTGTATGTGTTTTACCCTATGAAGCTCTTTAATAAGGCTGTTATGAATATTCACCATTTCTAATTAGAGCTGAGCACTGTTTAAGACAAAGATTATTTGTGATATTTTTATTCCTGTGAATGTTATCCAGAAATAGTGTCACGTTGTAGATTTAATGTTAAAGCAGGGGTCTCCAATCTTGGCAATTTTACGACTGGTGGACTTCAACTCCCAGAATTCCTCAGCAGGCTGGCTAAGGAATTCTGCGAGTTGAAGTCCACAAGTCATCAAGTTGCCATGGTTGGAGACCCCTGTGTTAAAGGATGTGCTGGACATGGTTATGAAATTGTGATGGACTTCCCTTCATGCTAATCACCTGCAGCAGTTTAATTTTAAGAAAAGCTGTAATGATTGATTTCTAAAATAGTCGGAGGGCATTAAATCAATTCTTGATTTAGAGGAATCAGGATCCTCAGTATAGGATGAATTAAAATAGAACCATCAGATTGAAAACAAAAGGAAATATCATTCAATATCATTTTCTTTTCAGAATTCTATTTACTTACAGAAGATAGCAATAATGGGACATTCTTTTGGTGGTGCCACAGTCATAGAAACGCTTAGCAAAGATCCACGATTCAAGTAAGAACTAGTAAACAAAAACCTTAATTGTTGTTTTTCTTTGCAGTAACATTTGTTTTACAGATAGTCCTTGAGTTATGGCGATTTGTTCAGACTCTTTGAATTATGGTGGCCCTAAACAATGGTACTTCAACAATCCATCCCCAAAGGTATGACCATTTCAGACTCCTCCTCCAATAGTCACATGATCAAGAGTTGGGCACTTGGCAGCTTACCTGTACAACTGTTGGGGTGCTTCAATTCCCCTTGCTCATTACAGGCATCTTTACACTGCCGCACCCCCCAACTCTACCTGCGCAAGGCTTCTAGGATCTCCACTACCCACCTCTGTCCACTCCACTATCCTCCTGCCCCATGCTCCTTACCTTAGACTCTCTCCGCTTAGCGACCTGTACATCTGGAGTTATAATGGCAACTGGGACTGTTGGGATTGCCATTGCTAAGCAATCCAGTCACATAAATCACTCTTCATGATCATATTGCTCATCAGTGGAAATTCCAGTCCCAATTATGGTCTTAAGTTGAGGACTCCCTGAATTTGTAAAGGTTAAGGAAGTTGGGGTTTATGCATAATATCAAGAGAAGAATTCTGTCAATTGAATTACATTGATTGCTTAATTGCTTGATTATATGCCATCAAGTCATTGACAGTTTTTAATATAGATTTATTTTTTCCATTACGACCTGTCCCTAACCTGGTTCTTCAGCCGTGTAGTAATCACTTCTGTAACTATCCACCTTGATCCTGGCCGTCCTCTTCTTCTCTTTCTTTCCACCTTTCCCAGCATTAGAATCTTCTCATGAGAGAGCTAGATCTTCCATTAATATGTCCAAAGTAGGAGCATGTGATAAAGCTTGCATTAAAACCTTGTTTAACTTTAATAATTGGCACCTGAAATTTCTTGCTTTGTTCTTCTTCTCCATTCCATTTTCCTTTTATACTGTATGCACATCTATTTGATAGTAAGCCTATAGATATACAGGTAGGGATACCTTTTTGGGACTGCAAAGATTCATACAGCCATTAAATAGTTAAAAGAGAGAGAAAATAAAATAATCTCTGGCTTTCAGCTGACATCTAATGGCCATAGGAATTTTATAAAACCATATATTGTTCTTACCAGATAAATATAAATAATTTTAAAGGCTTCATTTCTGAAGTGGTATCTCCATAAAGATCCAGTTTGGTATAGTGGTTAAGGTGCCAGGCTAGAACCCAGGAGTCTATGGATTCTAGTTCCACTTTAGTCATGAAGCCAGATGAGTGACCTTGGGCCAGTTCCTCTCTCACTCAGCTCTAGAAAGCAGACAATCTTAAACTGTCCTTGAAATCTTGACAAGAAAACTGCAGGGGTCAACACTGACTAGAAGGCATTCTCTCTCTCTCTCTCTCTCTGTGTTCCTCCCTCCCTCCATAATTGTTACATAAATTCATGGAACAGGTGAACAATGCACAATGATTTCTGGCAAATTTTAAAGTGTATGAGTATGTATTGAATATTATTATTGAATAATTATTGCTCAATTCTGATCATTTTTTGTGACACTGTGGCTTTGCTAGCCAAACAAGAGTCAATGAATTAATTGTTTTTGTTATATTTCTCTTAAGACTTCCGAATTAGAGGCCCTCATCTAATTGTATGGTTCTTTTTATTTGCTTATAGATTCACTTTTCTAATTACTATTTGTTGGTTTGACTACTGATCTACTCTTGGATTGACTATTGGTAGGAAATAATATTCTACATATAATCTGAGACTAAATAGAGTAAACTAATCTGAGACTAAAGAGAGATAATCCCTCTTTAATCTGAATTAAAAGTAGGAAATCCTCCATTGTAATGGGTATAAATTGTTTTTGTACCGAAGAGTGGAACATTCTACCAATGTGTGAATGTTTCCTTAATAAAGGCGTATAAATGCATAGGTGTAGGACTGATTGGTAAATAGATGTGTATGCTACTTTCTATAGATTCAAGGTAGCTTGCCTCATAGAACGATAAATATAAACATACAATGACAGTAAAAAAAAAATATTACACACTATTATATTGGCCAGTTCTGAGCACTTCCACTAAAGTGATGTCAGCTTTATAGTACGCTCCTTTCCAAGGATTCATCTTGAAATCCACAGCCCAGTGTTCACGGAAAGGTCTGTAACTCAGGATAGCCCTAGAGTATTTCATGACAAATTCCTTTTGCTTTTCAATCGTTATTAAACAATTTATTGTTACAAGAGCCCACTGCCTCTTAACATTGAACATATCTTACAGAAAATTTATCCTAATGGATCCCAATAAAATGTATTTATGTGTGATTTATAGCATCTATGTGTACTTTTAGGATGTCCAAGATTAGGATGTGCAAACTGGTACTGACATGTTATAGAACTTTTTTTTTCTCAATAGATGTGGAGTTGCTCTTGATGCTTGGATGCTTCCCCTATCTGATGAAGTATATCCCAAAGTGCACCAGCCATTGCTGTTTATTAACTCAGAAAAATACCAATGGGCCTCGAATATCCTAGAGATGAAGAAACTTAACATGGAAGGCAGAGAAAGAAAAATGATAACTATTATGTGAGTGGCGAATATCAGTAGCCTTAGTTTCTTTAGAATGGGGTTTAGAGGTATGGGATTATAGAGTGTTAAATTTATATAGTTTAAAACTAATCGGATATAGCTGAGATAAGCACCCATATTACCTGCAAGTGGTGTCCAAATTATTATTTTTAAATCTTAAATGGTAAAAATCTCATAAGGCTAAAATATGACAAAATCCCAGGTATGATATTGACAAAAGCAAGATTTGATAATCCCACAACATTGTTATTGGTCTCTCTAAATTTTAGTTATCCCACAGGGAGCCTGGATTACATAACCTGTCATCCAAGATTGAGCAGTGAAGTAATTCAAGTAATTCAAAACAGTAATTCGTTTTCCTCAGGCTGCCTGAGATTCTTTTCCTGGGATTAATTTTCCATCCTGAAAATATTGTTAGAGTACTTCTCTTTCAAGGTCTAAATATTCTGTGTTCTTACTGATCAGAAATATGTGTGTATGTAATGGTATGGGGGCTCCTATAGCTATAATACCTATGTCTCCTGCTTGAGCAGGGGTTGGGCTAGAAGACCTCCAAGATCCCTTCCAACTCTATTATTCTGTATAGGTTAATCTCCGGATCCTCTGTTAAATAGCAACAGGACTTAGATTTATATACCGCTTTATAGTGCTTTATACAGCCCTCATATACTAGGCAACGTATTGGTCATATCTAACTGCACCATTAATTACACAATTTTCATATTTGGGTAATTTTGGCTGTTGGAAAAGAATGTAGAGCTGGTCTTGGAAAGAGGAAAGGAATTATTGAACCATAATGGGACAACTTTCAGGAAAAAAAAATCATTTTGAGAAAAGGGAAGTGTAAAACAAAGAATTTCGGACAGATTTTCAAGATTCTGGTTTCCTACCCTACAACAAAGTGTGAGAGTCGCCTTTTAGGAGAGATGGGTGGCATAGAAATGTTTTAAAACATTAAATTTAATTTTTTAAAAATAAATCAGGTCACTTCGTGGAATCCTTGCTGGTTCTGTTTCTTTTCCTACTTTGAAGGGCTGACAACACTGCTCCCTAAGCAGCTAGAGTCACTCGATTGTGAGATGGGTAGCATATAAATTTAATGAATAAACTAATATAACTAGGGCCTGCAAGCCACTATGTCATAACTGAAGCCTCTGCCAATGTTCCAACATTCCGTGTTCTATTCCAAATGAAAAACAGCAGTTAATATACAATACACAATTGGTTAAGCCTGCCGATGGCTTTCTTGAAAGATTACTCTGTGGGGCTGAGTCAAATGCAAACTTAATAGGTCTACATGAAGACATTTCAGCAACATGCTGTACCTATAATGCTTTATCACCCATAGAGCATGTTTTCCTAAAACCTGCTTGCTTTTCTGCAGTTCTTCCTTATTTAAACCAGATTAAGGGCAATTTATTATGGCAGAGGCTTCTTTATTCCCTTTTCTAAAAAGGGGGATTATTATAACTAAATCCCAGACCTTTGGGATGTTTGCTGTTCGGTCAGTGATATGAGTAGGAGGTTGGGATTAATAACCACCAATTAGTATTTTCCTTTAGCACTTCCATTGGAATAAAATCACATCCATGGACCTACAAAGGCATCCTTTCTAAATGAGATCAAATTTTCCTTTTGCACTGTTTTAAAGGTGGACATATTTCTCTCCCTCCCTCCCTCTGTTCATTTACAGTATTACTGAGTGATCAGTAGGTAGTTTAGCAAAATACAGAGATTGTGTAGGACAGCTCTTAACTATTGTATCTTTACTATATACGTGACTAGAATAATCTGTTTGATCTAATTTCAATAATCAAACATGAATAGTAATTGTACAACAGGGACTGAGTTCTAACTCATGTTTTAATTGTAGTTGCCTTCCTTTGATCTCCAAAGAAAAGGTTTTTGAATGTATTTTATTATGATGATAATAAAACAATTCTAACTTATTCTTATTACCACTGAGAAAAAAATGAATAAAGACATAGAACATTACCACCATCACCAAAACCCTTGGAACAACAGGCATGATATTCCCCTCTGAAAAAAAAATCGGGGCCGGCCAAAAG